GGAGTTTAAAAACTGCAAAGGAGTGTTGCAGGATAATTTAATCAGGTTGTTTCTCGCATAATTTGAACACTAAAAATTTCTACCGAACAACATTTTTTATTATTTGAGAGCTAAAATCTTAGAATATAACGACAAACATAGCATAATGTTAGTTACGATTTTATTATTTTTAACTTTTAGACTTTACTAATCAAATTAATTTTCCATTTAGAAGTTATTCTTCTTTATCTATATTTTTCGAAAGCAGAAATTTTTTCCTTAATAAACCGCATAGTAACGGAGTTATAGATTTAAAAATACATTAACTTTGCTTAATACTTCACTGCACAGACCTTGGAACGTTTACATGAGTTGTTTTTCTGGCCAAATTTTTTAAACACAAGCATGTAGATTAATTCGGGCCTTATATTATCAAAAGGCCTTGCACAAACTAAGAATCAGTTCATTGTTTACGTTATAAATTACTGAAATTTTCTTATATTTAGAAGTGTTTGTTAGAGAACTACAATAGGCTCACTTTTGTATTGTCAGGCAAACTCTGACTATTGATTACAGATTAATAAGCCCTATTTTTATTGTTTACAATTGTTTGCTTTTATATTTTAAAATCAATTTATAGTGGATATTGTCAAACAAAACATGATAAACAATACAATATTTTTCAATGACAATATTTCGCGATATTGATATAAGTAAACAGGAATTAACAGCAAATTGTTTATGATGATTGCTCTATAAAGCCGCACAGTCATAAAAATATTTCAAGAATAATAAGGTTTTTCAATTTTAAATTCTTAATTAGGCTGTAATTTGAAAAACTTGTAAACCTATAAAATTCTTACTGTTGTCCATCTGCCTGTCTGTCCTTCCTTAATCTCGAGAACGATGTTAGATGAAAACCGAGACCAGATGCAAAAAGCTTTGGGGCAGGAGATCCCGATTAACTATATACAAACTACCAGTTTAGACCGAAAGTCACGTGATTTTAATTAACAATTTCCCCCTGAACGAATTTACATAGATGACCGGCATGACTCCTTTGTTAACAGGATAAGCATGATGTACAGGGGCAAAATCAGGTGAAGAACATATTTTAAATTAAATTAAAATATGATTTAAAATTTTTGCTAGTTTTATATAATTTTTAATAAGGTATTTTTAGTACCTGTTTAAGGTACTAAACAATAATTAAAAATAATTTTATAATCGAACTCAACACTCGGTTATTCCGTTTAACCATTTAGTCATTGTATATTGAATATAGTACTTTGAAAAGATAATGTTTTCAAAAAATTCTGCGATTCTAAAATTACTCTAAAAACATATAATTAAATTATCCCGTAGAATTTTGTATATTTACATTTGAATACACTTTACAACTTGTTTAAAAAATGCCATTTTTTGTCTGTAGATAGCTAATTATAATTAAATAATTAAATTAGAATTCTAGTTACAATTAAATAGTTAAAATAACTCGTTAATTAATTAAATAATTGCAATAACGAAGTTGGACTTTTAAGAATTAATTGCTGAATTTTCTTAATTTAACTCTTTTTCGGCTATAAATATATTGATATCTTTACTTTAATATAATATTAATAATACAATATATAAAAACATACATTGCTTGTTTGATAAAACTTTTAATAAAATTATTATTTTAATAAGTATTTAAATAAGTTTCAAGTTAGTGAAAAAAATTAAAATAAGATATTTAAGCAATAATAATTAATTTCGAAAAAATAATTAAGTATAATATTTTTAAAAATTTGTATAAAAAAAGTTTATTTTTATTTCTTTAAAAATTTCTCAAATTCATTCACAAGTCTGAAAGATTAAATAACAATTTTTATATTTCGAACTTATAAATAAAAATTTCTATATTGAATTTCTTTAAATCTTTTTAAAAGCATTTTTTTTTTTTCACTTCCAAGTTTGATTTAAAATAAATTTCTACGTAATTGCCAAGAAGTTTTTAGAATAATATTTTCTGAAATTCCCATATTGATAGTTGATTTAGTTATTTTTAGAATATACGGAGATATGCTAAAAATATATATGTAATCTCTGCATATATGCCAGGTATTTCGACTACTATTAAGTTAAAAATTAATTAAAATTTCATTGGTATCTATTACAAATAATGTAATTTTATTATTAAAATGTTTTTCTAATTATATTGAAATTTTTTAAGTAAATTTTTAAATATAAAAGAAAAATTAGTAATAAAATAATCTGTTAGATTTAATGTAAAAACCATTTTAATGGAAAAAATGCGAAAAGTATAACATGAAAAATATATTACGCGTATTATTTCGAATAAATTATATGCGTAATATATTTTCGTATGCATATAAATTTATATAAATTAATATTATGCATAGAATTTAAGTATAAAAACAATAATTTCAATGCAATATTTATGTACATTTTATTTTATGAGAATCATGGACTCTTAAATACTGTATTATCAAATAGAAATTCAAGCAATCTCCTACTTTCATACAACTTGCTCCTTCATGGAGAATATGTTGTACCGCATTTCATAAGTCATATTGTCGTTTTTGTACATTTTAAGCAAACAAAATGTTTAGGTTACATACTACCAGTTAAGGTTTTAATAACAGCAAAATCAGTTGTAAAAATTCATTTTTTAAGGTCTATTTTTTGTTTTAGTTGTAGTTCAATGTTTCCAATAATGTCTTATTTATTGTATTACATTCAACATGAAAAATAAAGCCTTCCTATGTTAAGAAATTTTATAATTTTATGTGAACAAAACTGTATAATTGATAAACTTTCATATACATTTTTACACATTTTATATAATGCAATTTAATTGTACAATTTAACTTCACCCTCATTAAAATAGTAACGAAGTGTCTCTTGCAGCAAATTTAAATATTATAATTACGCAAAAAAATAATAAATTAGAAAATTAATTTTTAAAACTAAGTATTAAGCATTAAAAATTTACGTTTTTAAGCAAATTATTAACACATAAACTGACTTTTTAAAATTAATTTAAAGTATAAATCTATTATGTTTAATTGTCTTGTTGTCTTAATCATCTTCAGGTTTCGACACGTAATATAAACCACTTTATTAAAAAAAAGTAATTAATTTTTATTTTATTTATTATATTCTATATCTATTTTTTTTCCCAAAATCTCATATAATATCTTATAAATATCAAATAATAATTGAAATGAGATTGAAAAATAACATAAATTAAATAAAGAAAAAAATTTAAATGAATATTAAATTTATTTTTGATATCTTATTTATTACTTTTTATTTTCTACACGATGCTTATTTTGTATAAAATACATTTTCAATTAGTAAACATCTTTAATTTTTTTTATGTTATATTATTATACTTTATATATTTTGCAAGAAGGATTGTACTTAAATATCACCAATTTTAATAAATAAATAAGATTTTTCAAAGTTTATAAATATTAATGTTTTGTTAATAAGAAATAGAAGATTATTTTTAAAGTTAAAGGATAATCCAAACACATTTAGTTTACTGTAAAGATAAGGGGAAAAAAGGATTACTTTCTTTCCTAAACTCTAGATTCTGTTTTTCTGTGATTTAGTTTAATGGTTAAAAAATAATCAGAACCTTCCTCTATTAATTCTTTCATTGTATTAATGTATCAATCTAAAAACTTTTAAAAGTGCATTAAATTTGCATTAAGAAAAAAAAAACAGATTATATTTAAGATAAATATCGATTTTTATAAATTTTTAATAACGTCATGAGTATAGATTTGTGATGTAATCTTCTAACAAAATATATATTTACTACGCTTAATAATCGTGATAAATTAATCAAATACATTGCCCATTTACCTGACATTACGGTGAAAATTCATTATTTTTCCTCTTCTGATAACTTTTTTTTATAATTTTTGAAATATAGGTTTGTTTTTTTAAAGGTAATGTTGAAAATATTAAATATTGACCCATGAACTGAGTTGTTATGATAATTCATTTTATTCATCTTTGTCATAGATCATTTATTCAAATTAATAATAAAGCAGAAAAATGGTTATCTCTTTCTTCTTATTATAAAACGCAAATTGATAGCTGGTTTAACTTATAAACAGACAAATCTATTTTGCAATTTTACTAAGTGCTACTAGACTTAGAGATGAACTTTAATAAATTTTTGCGAGGAATTATTAATAACATAATTTAATAAAATGTTATAAACAAAATCCAAAACTGTAAATGAAGTGAATGACTATAAAATTAGATTTTCTTTTCGAACAGGTGTTGTTTTCCTATACCTTTATGTTGCTTTGTAGTAGCTGTAAAACGGTACGTAATAGCTTAAAACTTGTACTAAATATTTTTACTTTAATCCAAATAGTAAAGAAAGACGAGAAAACATTTGTTCTTTACATTTATAAATCCATTAAATATAAAACACCCGTCTGTTTTCCTTTCTTTTATTCACTTTATACAAATTGACAATAAAATTAAAGTTTTCGTACATAAGAATATTTAGCTATAAGTTATAACAATATAATTCGTATTCTGTACATGGCTACATTTAATCCCATTACATTAATTACGTACACTTGAGACATATAGGTAATAATCAAACTCCCACCATAACGCACGATTCATATTACAAATATTACCTTTAACGTTAGCCAGTCACTCTTGTTATATCTAATTATCATTGAGAACTTTATAAAAGAAATAAGATATTTTAATTATAATAATTACGATTTGCTCATTATATATTAATTCAATAGCAAAGCAGCATAAATAGTTATGTTAGGAGGCAAGGAATAATTTGTTACTTAATGAATTCCGAAAATGAAAATTATTTTTCATGCACAGTAATAAATTATAGATGATAATTAGTCAGTTGGTTGAATTTATTACCAGTAAATTAATATTTTAATTTTTCGACCATTCATTATATTGTATTAATAAGAAAACCTGACGTAAAATATTAATGAAACTGCATATTTATACAGTTCCTCCTTTCTGGAAGAGTGAACCTTCGGATAAAGAAGCGATAATGGGGGAAAGTATAATGATTGATTGTCAAGCTAACGGATTTCCTTCGCCTCAAGTTCGATGGAAAAAGTTTCAGGGTAAATATAATGAATTTAACCTTGTATGAGATATAACAAACCAAAGTAGAAATGTAAATATACTGCCATTATGAATGTATGTATATATGTATATATATATATATATATATATATATATATGTTATATAATATAATACGCGATAATCCAAACTGATGATTACATTATTCAACATTAAACATATTTACATATTTATATCTTAAATATAAAGCTTGTATTAATATTCAAAGATGTATTAATAATACTTAAGAAAGGAAAATGTGGCATTAATTTATAGCAAATAGAATTATAACGTTAAGCTAATGGATTAGTGGATTTCCATATGCAGGGGAAACGGCTGGTGATTTCCGCACGGTGATCAGCAATCCTCATATCCAGACGTTAGAGAATGGATCACTGGTAATTACAGAAGTGGAACTTGCTGACGATGGTCAATATATGTGTCAAGCCACGAATGGTGTAGGCCCAAGTCTCAGTTCTGTTGTACGTCTTATTGTTCACGGTTTGTATATATCTTGATTAGTTTCTTTCATTTTCTACGAATTATTTTAGCTTCATCACGACGTAATAAAGGCATTCTGTTATATGGCTTTACAGAGAAAAACCTTCAATATATCATAGTAAATATTTTCTAGAATATAAATATAATTCCTTTAGGTCACTAAAAACAAAATTCGCTTCGGGATACAATGATTTATATATTTTATTCCCGTTATTTAATATATAAAAGAAAAATTTCAAAATATATAAAATAGTTTTTTTTATTACTAATCTATATTTACTTGAGGTATTCATCATATAATATGTTGAACAATTTTAGTTTATGGTACTATTAAAAAAAATGTTTACTTAAAATTATAAAAAGGCTGAAAGAATTTATATATTTTTATAATAATACTTAAGTTACTAAATTGAAGGATGAAGAGAAATAGCAATATATTTTTTCTTTAGTTCCTGCTCACTTCAGAAATAAATTCAAATCTACTACAATTCGAAAAGATGAGACTGTTCAATTGAAATGCGAAGCGTATGGAGAAAGACCTTTAACAATTTCTTGGATGAAAGATAGACAAAACTTTAATCCTAGGTCTGATCCAAGGTATGAGAATCTGCTTCATTCTTTTAAATTCGTTTTCTCACTAAAACTGTCGTATTTGTTTTTAATTTTTAAATAAACTTTTTATAAATAAATATTCTAAATAAAAACTATCTTCTTTTAACTCCTAAATTTTAACAACTATTAACATTCACAGATAAATTTCACATTGCTCTTCTAATAAAAATAAATGTAAAAGTTATAATAAAACTTTTAAAAATTGCAAATATATATATATTTAATAATTAATAGAAAAATTTAAGGAAAAGATAGCACAAAAATCGATATAAGAAAATCGCGAGATATTCTGTGGTTCCGGTTAAACATGGATAAAAATTCTAAAAATATGAATAGAATCATATATTTTTTACTTTTATTTTATTCTTTATAAAGTTCTGCTAGTGCACATCCTAAAATATCATCGTTAAATCTTTAGTTAAATGGATGACAGAATCTTTTACTTTGGATTATTCAAATGTAACATGAAAAATGAATAAAATGAAAATGTAGTATTTTTACATACGTCATTAGAATACATCCTTATTATTCAGGCGATAAGTTTTGTTCTTATAACAACATAACGTCATACATAATAAAGAAAACAATGTTTAAGAAGCATAAATTATTTTCCATAAATTATTTTTATTTTTAAAAATATCCAGTAAAATGTAAATAATATTAATATACAAAAAATATATTTAAAATTAAAGTAAAATTATAATAAGTTATAAATTAGTATATAAAATTTTATTATAATTAATTTATTAATTTTTATGTTACGATTTATTGTTGTACAGTACATATAACTATAATCGCTATTATGATATATAATTATACTGATGACTATAATATAAAACTAATTACAATTAGTAACTATTAATTTATATTAAAATTTTAAAATATAATAATAAAATTATTATAAGGAGCAGAAATATACAAAAATTCTTTTTAAAATACGAGGAAAATTATAATTGATAAGTTTATTCTTCATGTATAACAATAATCTTAAATATACTATAATTAATATAACTATTATAGATACAGCGACAAAGAAACAATTCTAGAAAAAGGCATGACTTCGGAACTGACTATTATATCCGCTAATCGAAGAGATTCAGCACTCTTTACTTGCACAGCCGCAAATGAATATGGAAAAGATGAAACTAATTTTCAAGTTTTAGTTCAAGGTAAAAACAACTAATGTCACTACATAGCTAACACACACACACACAAAGATGCTCGAGCATTAATTACTTCGCAAAACTTTGTCGAAAACTTTCTTAAATTAAATTATAATTCTAAACTATCATTACGGCATTCACAATATGAATTTTTAAAATTGTTGTTTCGTAAAATTTAACACGGATATGTAAAATTTAATGCAAACATATAATGTATTGGAGTTGAAATGTTCTTATTTCTTCGATATTTTTAATCTAGAAAAGCCAGACAGTCCAAGAAACGTGGAAGTAAAGGATGTTACTAGTCGAACGGTTACAGTTTCATGGGTTCATGCCTATACTGGCAATCTTCCTTTAATCAATTATATCGTACAAGTTAAGCGACAGGATGGTAAGTTTTTTTTCTATAAAATTAAATGAAAGGAAGAGAATAATTTATAACAAATTTCGTCACTATAATTACGGATGATAAAATTATAATTCTTATTAATACAAGTAGCTATTCCTTAATTAATAATAAACTTATGAAAGAATATAAAGTACAGCTTTATAAAGGCAAAATTAATCACAAAATATACTTTAAAGTTTATAAAATTATGAAAAGAGATACCTTAGAAAGGAGAGATGATGAAGACGAAGAGCAACAACGTGTAATCTATTGATAATGGTTTCCTATATGTATACACTTCATGAACGTTAATTTTGTTACCAATGCATCCGTAATTATACGTGAATGGATAATTATCCATTTAAATTATTCAAAAGATAAGTTTATACGATGATAACAAAAATAAATTGTTACTGATTTTAGATTGAAATTTCTACGGTACAAAAGGAAATCATTTGTATAATTAAATTGTATAGTTTAATTAACAGTAATAATTAATAATAATTAGTGATAAAAATTCCTTAAATTTTTATTTAGTATATTGTATTATTCACTTTATTAAAATTTTTATATAAAACTAAGAAGAATTTATTTTTTTAGATTTATTTGTAGGAAGTTTAATAAATTATAATGATCTGTTTTATTTATTTTTTGTTCTTTCTAGAAAGGAATAATACTATAGTAATTTTGTTGTAGAGGTATGTTTGGTCTCCAATGTTTAAATAATTTCATTTTTTCTTTTACTCCTGCATATTTTTATATAATTTTTAAGCATGAATTTCTATATTTTTATCTATTTCACTTCCAATATAATTTACTACATAAATTTCTTTTTTTTTTATTTTGCTTATATGAGCCTTTATATTTTTTATTTTATGAATATATCTTGTAGCTTGAAAGCTGAATTTTTTCACAAAAAAAGAAACAAAATTTTATTATAGACCTATTTATAGAAATAACTTGCTGATCGATCAATATCAATTTGCATTCAGTTATCGCTAAAACATCAGTGTCGCCATCTAGTGCCAAATATCAAAAGCAATTTTGATACTGATTTTTATACTTATTCATTTTATTATTAATAACAGATTTTAATTTATATATAAAAATATATTTTTTTAAAAATTAATATATATTTTAACATATGTTATGTAGAACAATGGACAGATAAAACCAAGTCTATGAGTGTTGTTAATTCTGAAACAGCAGCTGTTGTCAGAAATCTAAATCCCGTTACAACGTATAATTTTCGAGTTATCGCCGAAAACAGTTTGGGAAAAAGTAACCCTAGTGATACCGTATCTGCTACAACTAGTGAAGAAGGTAACTTTTTTAAAATATATAGATTTATATTATATTGTTTCTCTTCAAACTCTTATCAGGTTAGTTTTATGATAACACTGTTCTTTGTAACAATATAAGAATGATATTTTATCTAACAGCAAGTACATTCTCATCCATTAGCAGGCCGTTAAAGCACACTTTCATTATCATTAAGGTAGTTGTTAAACATAATCCGATAATGCATATTCTCTAAGTAACTCGCTCAGATTTCTAGTTTGTTCATAATATTACATTATTAATGAATCTACTTAAGAGGATTGAGATAATTGTAGTTTATCAAACAAGATTTTAATCTAGTTTAACCTAAAATCCAATTAATTTGACCCTACGAAGGAGCACAATTAAGTGATGATGTTGACTTAAAACATTCGTTAAATGAAGATGATAATTTTTTTGTTAATAAAATTATATTATTAATATATTTTTTTATACATAAAATGTTAAGAATTCGTACAGTAGATTTTAATTGAATTACTTCTTTATCTAATACAAAAGTTTTAAATTTAAAATAAAATTTTTAAAGTTTATCCTTTTAAATTTTTAAGTTCTTTGTTTCTGTATGCTTATTAATTTAACTAAGAATTAAAATGATTTAATTTAATTTTAAATTATTAAATAGATTAAATCTTTTTAATCTATTTAATAATTTAACACGTAACTTTGATTAAAACATTTTTATATGTAAGATAAAAATAAATAATAAATAATAAAATAAAAATAAATCTTAAAATTTATTGAAGATATAAATATTTAAATTATTCATATGTTATTTACAGTAAATCTCTAAAATATTTATTAACTTCATAAATTTTATTTATATGTAAAAATTTAAGCTGAATTATATTATCTAATTATTTAAAATTTATTAATTAACAGGATTTCATTTAATACATAAATGTATAATAATTTAATGCATAATAATTTAGGATTATTGATATTCTATCGTAAATTTTAACAAAGTTTGTCAGCTTATAGATAAGATTAATGAAATGCCAGTTAAAAATTTTTTAAATCAATTTTTTCATTTAAAAAAGTTTCTCATTCATTATACTTTACGGGTAATTTTTTTATTAGAATTATTTTTGAAAAACCAGGAAAATTATTATGTTTATACAATAATTCATTTATACTATAAACATACCGGCATTTGAATTTAATAATGTTGAGTAATAAAAAGTATTCTGTATATGCAAATTTTTAAAGTATAAATGGAAAATATTCTTTCATCTAAATTTATTTTTAGTTACATTTGAAAATCGATAATAATTCTAAAGATATTAAAAAGAAACGTAAAAATATTGAGAAAAATATTAAAATTATATTACGCTGTTTATTTAATGGATATAATTGAATTCATGTTACAAGAAAAAAAAATTTATAAAACAACATTAGCAAAATAGAAAAATAATAGAATTAAATAAATATAAATGGAAAGTCCTATAAAAGTAGTAAGTTTGATAAAAATAATAAAAATTTATGCAATATTTTAAAGAACTTTTATATCTGTAAATGAACGGATACATATATTACAGTAAAAGCTAAAAAATATAAAAATGTAGCTCATGTGTAACAAATTATTATGAAAATATTCAATTTTAAGAAATCCATAATTTACAAATTATATAAATAGTAATAATAAACAAAATGTCACAACACCCCGGAGATTAATAAAAACACAAACAGCGATTTATGAAATTCTTCGTTATGTTTTACTAATTATTAGTTTCGATCCTATTTTATTTTATACTAATTAATTTTTCAATATATTTAAATATACAGTACATTTAAGTATTTAAGATTTTTGTTATTTCTCTATTCTTTTCTGTATCTTCCCTTTCTTTATAGAATTATTTTAAATAACAGAAATTTATTCAAACTATTATTATTTATTTTGTTATATAAAAATATCATATGATTTGATTGAATTTTACAAATTATAACTAAAATATTAATAATTATTTATTTAACTTAATAAACACGATAACAATACTGTTGTATCATATGTCAGAGAGATTTAAAAAACAAAAAATTTATTATATTCCAAAAATATTTTTTATTATGTCACTCTAAAAAAATTAAGTTGGAGATAATAGCTAAAAATTTATCGTGTAAAGTTTCTTATCTAAAAAGAATTCTTATTTCCAGAGGAAAATAAATCTTCAAAAATATTACTTAGTAGTTTGAAAGTTTCGAATCTTTAAAAATTCAAATTATATCCTTATTGAAGCACATTAGAAAGTCATAAATTCAATCCTATATTTTCGTGTCTTCACTTAAACGGTCATCTTTCCTACTCATAAATTTAAGGAAATTAAGTCTTGAAATCAAAAAAGAAATTTTTAATAAAATATAAGATTTTTTCTACAAGTTAAAAGGTACAAAAATGTTTGTTTTTTTTATCATTAAAAATAAATTTATTTATTTAAATTTATAAATTTATTTATTTAAATTTCGTTCAATGCATCAGTTTATAGTAAGTAAAATTATAAATTGTCCTTAAATCTCCAATTGATGTAATTTTTGTATTTATTTTTGATAGTTTAATTAATCTTATATAAATTTATTAATAAAAGATTTTCTTAATTAAATTTGCTCTATATTAAAAAAAACAATTTCTTCTGAAGGTTTTATTACGATTTATATCTTAGTGAAAGCAATTCATGTTACTTAAACGGTTTTTGTATTGTAGTTAATACTTAATCCATTCGGTTGTGAAAAGTAGAAAATAACAAAAGAGATTACAGTAATACTCTTCACATATCTGAGGTGTCTGTTTCTGTTAATCTTTTCAAAGAATTATGAAAGTCTTGTTTCTTTCTTACATATACAGTAAAGAAAGTTGAGGATTATAGTAAACCATATTTTTTAGTCTTGCAATATAGATGATAATCAACATGATAGCTATTGAATTATCTGTTGAAAAGGAAAGTGTGGCACATACGGATAAATGATCGAACATCTGGTTAAAATCGTAAATAAAACACAAAATATTGGTCCAAAAAAAACTATTTTTATTAAAACAGAATTTATTTTTAACACGGTAAACATTTTCGGAGAAATTTTAACTTTTAAATTGTCACCAAATTATATTTTTAATTTCCTATTAAAAACTCAAACTTATATTTAAAATCAGAGCTTGTGAATGCAGTATTTTGAATACGGTATTGAATAAGTCTTGTATTTTGAATACAATAAGGAATATTGTTACCTTAGGTAACAACATTCCTTTTTGTATTCACAAACTTCAAACTTAAGAAGCAAATTCTTCAAACTCGGCTTTTCTTAAGAAACAAATTCATCTTACAACAAATCTTATATTCAGAAATCAAAAGTTATCAATGGAAATTATGTGAAAACAAGCTTAAAACTATTCTTTTGAATTATTAATACCAAAACAAATCTACGACTTAAAGTATGCTTTAAAAATATGCTCAATCACAATAACACTAACTCCCGATTTTTCAGTAAACAAATACAGAATATTATTATCTGGTTCTATCTACATTTTCCCAAGGGAAGAAAAAGAAACATTATACGTTACAACAACTTATGTTTAGTAAAATAGAAAGCTTCAATTTAACTAATGTGGTCTTACGTATATGAGACCACTAACGGATTTAAAAGTTTAAAATTTTTTAACTTACAATCACTGACAGTTGTCATCATTATTTGTATTTGCTCATTTTTACAATATTGCTTAAGGAAAATTACTCCTATCAAAAAATATTCATAGCTAAAAACTTGGGGAAAGATTTGGAATTATAAAATTGAGAATATTTTTTATATTAGAAGTATAAAATTTTAGGAGCAAAAGCATGAATTTCAAATTAACTTAAAGTATTTGTATGCAATTTAAATATAATATATTTATGCAAATTTGTAATTAAAATTCTACATATTTTCCTGAAAAAAATGTTTAAACTTTTCTCAAAATAAATTACAGATATATTTAGGTTTTCGTTCATAATAGTATTTTTAAACATGGTTCAAATTCTAGAATTTATTTTTTAACTTGTTCATCATAAATTGATAGTTTAATTATATTTATATAAATTAATGACTTAAAAATGTTTAATAAATTAATTGGTCTTAAATTGTACTATTTTGTTATAATTAAATTTTTAAAAACTTGCAAAATTTCAACTCTGTTATTCAGAAATTAAAGTTAAGTTTATTTAATGAAGTTTGTTAGTTTAATAAATGATAATGAGTTTTAAAAACAGAAATTACAACGAACAAAGNAAAAATACTTTATCAACAATAAAAATGTACTAATTATTAGTACTAATGTAATTGATATTAAAGATTAAAAATAAATAAATAAAATAAATATTTTACTAAGGAACAAAATTAACTAACTATTGTTAATGAAGAAGAATAAGAAAACTCAACTTCAACAGTCTGTAATTAACTGAAGAATAGTTTACATTAATTAGACTGTCGTTATCAATTAAAACTAAAGTAGTATTTAACATTTAATCGAAGGTGAAGATATCAGATTTCTTCAATAATTTTTAATCGAATTTTGTTATCCATATGACATGATCAGTTTATATTTTAATATAAACACAACATATTAGGGGAAAGTTAGAAGGGACTATCTCCCCGAATCAAATATTAAAAATAATTAATAAAGAAATAAAAGATAGCAAAAATTTCAAAATATATTTTTATTTATATCTTTTTAGATTTCTCTATAAAAAAACAAAAACTATGAACAAATCTATTCTTAATGCCTTGTTAAGATAATACTTAAATATGTTACTGTGTATAGAGGTATATTTTATGTCACTAAGGTATATTTGTTAGTTTCCAAAATTTTTTTAAAATTTTGACTAAAAAATACTGACTAAATTGGAAAGATTTCTGATTTGTATTCTCTCAATTGCAAATATCATCTTTCTGATTAATCAAATATTTATTATAAAGGGTACTAAAAAACATTGCAGTAGAAAAATTAAACTTTTGCTTTTGTTTTT